TATTTATTTATTTATTTATTGTAAGTTATATCTAAATATATGTAATAGCATTTTATATGTTTTTTTGAGTTAAATATTCTCTATTATTGGATGAATTCTAATTGAATGCTATAAAATTAATTATATAGGACTATTTATTTTATTAATATAATTTTTTTATTAATTTTTTTGTATGAATATATTTTTAGATTTAACTAATCTATTTATTTTAGTAGAATAAGACCTATATTAAAATTGTAAAATTATTTATTTTGTAATATTTTTTTAAGAAATAATATTTTTTATGAATTTAATAATATATATTTAATAATAATATTATTTGTTATCTTTTATCAGCGTATAAGATAAGATAGGCTTGATGTGCGCATGTTTTTATACTATTAATTAAAACATATTTATTTTTCCTGAGTTCGAGAGTATTAATTCAAATTCAATTTTCTAACCGCCCGTTCAAATTAAAAATCAAGCATCTGAACTTTTATTGACAGGGATAAGATTATTTAAAATCAAACTTGTAACTGCTGCCTACCAGCCTAATCCAATCCAGATAAGAATTGGACTTATGGGTCCAAAGGCCCATCAATCCGATAGGCCCAGTAACTCACATGTTAAGGGAGGGCCACCACCACAAGTTGCTCAATGCATTTCTCCATTCCCATTGGTAAAAGTTTTTTCTCGTGTTTTTTCTTATGAGTGTTGATGTAAATCAAGATGTATTGATCAACGTATTTTCCACCTCCTCACTTTTTAAAAACTCTTTTTTTAGCCTTCATCTCTTCATTTTTCTCTTTCAACTATTTATTTTATTTTTTAACAATTTTTTTATATATAAAAAATATTACAAAAATTATTAAATTATGTAAAATTCACACAAATAAACATTTATAATGTTCAAAAATTAAAATCTACAAAAAAATAATAAACTAAAAACAAAACAAAAAAATTAAAAATGTTGAAACACGAAAGCTTGAACGATGTGGGAAATCAATTCAGCTTTCAACGGATCTCAACATCCGGACGGACGAATCTCAAGTTGAACAGATTTCTCACATTCGTTCAAACCTTCACGTTTCTCTTCTTTCTCTTACACAACACACCACATACATCTATTTACAGAGCACGTATATAAAAAGAACAAAAAAAAGGAAGCTTTAACCACAAAAATATGCAAGGAAAGAATAAACGAAGAGACAAAAGAAAGGGGTGAAGACTCTGTGTGTATGAAGAAGAGAGGAAGAGAGAAAGTGAAGAGATGGGGGCTGTATGTGTGAAGAAGAAAAGAAGAAAGAAAGTGAGGGGATGAGGGCTGTAGAATTAGGGTTTTAAGAAAAGGTAAATAAAATTAAATGGTAAAAATTAAAAAATTTTAATTTAGGACATTTTTATAATAAGAAAAAATTTAAAGTGTAGAGAGGAATTGAGTGGTGGAAGGAGTAACTCTCCAACAGTGTGTTTGCTTGAATGGAAAACTCTGTTCAAGAGAAATTCTGAGCGACATTTGCGAGATATTCGTGTTCGTTTCGAGTGATTAACGAGGAAGAATTCGAGATGATTTGTGAGATTGATGTCTTTTTGGTATCTCGCTGAAATGTGATGATTTGAGCTGATTTATTGAAAAATGTCATCTTTACCCTTAGCTTTTTCATCAAATGCCATCACTTTTTGTTTGAAATAACTCATGCCAAATTGAAGTATTCGATTCCAAGTAATCTATAAGCGCGTAGAAGATATAAAAGTGGAGGCTGTATTTGATTATGTGTGGATGAATTCGGTTCCATCATGTTTTGTGTTGCAGCATATTCGGTCCCAGCTGTTGGGATTGGGTTCCATAGCCTTGAAAATTGCTTCAACACCTCGTATTCGGTTACCAGACTGGGTGTAACCGAATACACTGCTTCATACTTGATTCCAGTGCAAGAGATCTTCGTTTTGATGGCTTGAGATCTTCCTTTTGATGGCTATCTCACTTGTTTCTTTGGTTTTGCAGGTGAAAGAAGGACCCGTGCGCGTTGTGGAAGGGGTTAGCCGTAGAGGATTTAATCAAGAAGAGAAAACCCAATTACTCTGTATTACGGTGATTGAAAAAGAGAAGAGATTGGGGAAAGATTTTCCCTTACGCGACCCTAATCTAGGTTTGTTTCTGAAGAAGAAGAGTGTGTGAAGTCAAAGGAAAGTGAAAGAAACATTGTCGCAAGCTTCATCAAGCCAACCCAAATATGATGCGTGAAAAAAAAAAAGAAACCCCAATGAGAAAAGGGAATTAAATTTAGAGTTTCCTCTTAACGTATTCAATTAAGATATAAAAAAATAATTATTAAAAGAAATCCTAAATGCTACAGCTAAATTATATAAATCCCTTTTTCCCTCTCTTTCTCCATAATTGTTAAAAAACTGAAATAAAATAAAAAAAAATCCGTGACATACTAAATTATTTTTGTACAATATTAAAATTAATTTTAATAATTAATATTAATTTTTACTCTTTATGAACTCATTTTATAATTAAATATAACATTAACAAATATAATTTTATATTACATTAATATATAGGGACATTTTGGTAATCTTTAATTCTTATCCATTAAACAAATTTTTTTATCTATCACATGAATCAAATTTTACATTAATTCTCATAAACTTTACCTTCAAATTCACTCTCAATTATCTCAAAATTCACTAAAAAACAAAAAAAAAAATCATCCTTAAATCTTCTCAAATTCATTCAATGACTCTTTGTCATCTCCCATAAACACAGCGAAGAGGTTTTGAACGCTAAAGGGGAATTGTATAAGAAATGTTTTTGCAATCACAACGTCAAAGAGAGCGTAGACGCAGCTTTTCTCGGCGGTAACCAAAGGAAAATCAATAAAAATATTAAAAGTCGCGTGCCAGGCACGTGGTGAAATGGTTTAGTTACAAAGGCACCAACCACCACATTTTGGGTTCTCTCTCGTTCTTCCACGGGAACACAGGAAAAGGTCCAGAAGCAACCTTCCCTTGGCTGCCATTATGGCTTCCTTCTCCGAAAGCGATCACCAACAGGTCTCTCTCTATTCTCTATCGTGTGTGTTTATTCACAAGTTCCGCATAAACTTCACTTCATTTTCCTGCATCAGAGAAAACACTTCTTTTTGTTCTGAATATTTTGTGAATTTCATTTGAATTGAAGGTAAGCAACGATTAATGAAGTGAAATTGTTCAACTAAGCACCAAAAACACCTAGACTAACCGTATCATAGCTTTGTCCTTGTTATTGTTGTAGTTTGATACATTAGTAAAATGATATTTTTGTTTTCAATTTTTCTTTTTAAATTTATTTTAACTGTTTTTCGTTTTGTTTGGCAGATTCTGGTGGAGCGTAAATCACATGCGAGAATTCTGACCCTAAACAGGCCTAAGCAGTTGAATGCCCTCTCTTTTTATATGGTACGTTTTATTTGATGAATTGTCTTTTGCGTTGGAGCAATTACTGTAGAGTGGATTTGCTTTTCTGAAGTGAGAAAGGGCAGAGTAAGTAATCTCAGTTGTTGATGAAAGCCAAAATCAAATAAAGTGGGTCTTTTTTCAACACAAATTCGTGATTTGTTATGTACATGAACATCAAATTGATTGTTGATTTTATTATCAATGGACTGGTATTACATTTGTACCCTCTAAGTAAGTTCTCATTTTAGAGCATCTGGATAGTCTAAAGGAATCGATATATGGTTTCACTGATTAGGAATTTTCAATATAAAACGCCTGAAACTGTGTGTTGACATGAGAATTGATATTTTTTTTCAAAAAATATTATTGATTATTTCTTGCACTGCCTATGTCTTTTCTGATTGTTATTTGCCTGCTCCATCTACAGTAGGTTGTCAACATAAAAGATAATTATGTCTCTGATACCATACATTAGGTTTTAAGGAGTAAAAAAGTACAATTCCAATTTCCTATTTTCTTACTTTTTCTGCAATATTTTTCTGTCTACTTGTTAATTGTTGTAGGTTTCACGTCTGCTTGAAGTTTTTACTGAGGATGAGGAAAATTCTGATATTAAATTGGTTGTCGTGAAGGTAATCTCCTTTTAGTGAGCAAATTCAGTAGACTTTTATTTTATTCTATGGAAAGGGAACAAAACAACCTGCTATTGGAATTGGACTGAAAGGGTTGGCTGAAGAATATCATTCTCTAAAAAAGTTAATCTGTCCTTTGGTCCTCAAATATTGTTTAGCGCCTAAAAATAATTTAAAGTGATTCTTAAAGTATCTAAATTTTGTAGGTACTATTTTTTTTTTTAAAAAAAGATTAAAGTAGGTTGCAAGGGTATATCACTATACAAAACTTTAATACCAACCAATTTGGCCACCCTAGCAGACCAAAATATCATTAAGAAACAAAAGAGGAGTGAGGACTAAATCGAGTCCACTAAAACTTAAAAGTTCTACCGTTTGACAGCCAAAACTTTCTCTAAAAGAGTGCCGTGTAAAAAAAGACGGGAAATCAACCCACAAACTAAATCCTAAAGAGTAATACCATTGTACAACAAGTTTGTTAGCTATTTCCCTCTCAAAACGAGTATGGAACCCTAAAAGGCTTGATGATCTCAGGCAATTTTCCCATTCGTTGAAACTTCCAAGAACCAAAGAAAAATGCTTAACAAACAATATGGATTTATCTCTCTGTCAATATTAATTTATCTGCCATTATACACATGTTTTCATGAAAGTAACTTTAAAAACTTGTCTTATAAAACATTTAATTTAATAATTAGACAGAACACAATTTAAATAAGGGAAGAAGAAAAAGGTGGTTATGAAAAAATTAAATAGATAACGGTAAGTGTACTACCACACCTTCTTACAATAGTGCATAGCTGTCAAAGGGATTGCTGTCAATACTTAGCGTACTACTCCACCTTCATTACAGTTGCACTCCTCCATTGCCATGTAATCTAGAGTTTGATCATTGAAAAGTTTGAACAAGAGAGGGTGCACTATTGCATTTCCATAGTTCAAAGGGGCCTATTTGATATAAAACCATTCATACGGATTATGACAAAAGTGAAGGGGGCAAGAGTGCAAGACAGTCACTACCTTGTAAAGTTAAAACTTAAAGGATACTGTTGGAATTAGCTGGAAACATTGTACATATTTGTAAAATTGGTGTGATAGTAATTATTGTTTTGCTTTATGTGCACTTGTAATGTTGAGTATTAGGATATATACTTTTACATTTTAGCAGTTTTATGTTAGAAGAACGCTTGCAACGGAATTTTAGCGGGATGCGAAAACAAACCAGGAGGGGGGTGTTAGGTTCAGACTTGGGAACCTATATCAATTCTCACTTTCACTCCAAGGAAACACAGAAAGATGGAAAGAAATTTTTCAATGCATGCACAAAGTTAAAAGGTTTGTACAACAGCACCCAGAGGCATACCCTCTTCAACAGGTAAGTACCAGTTAACAATCAAACAATCAACAACCCATAACTCTTCTAACCAGCCAGTATTTATTACAATCTTACACGCTCCCCCCCTTAACTGTCCTAGACAGTTAGTTTGTTATAGTCGTTGCACTATTCCTTCTCTCATACACGAACACCTTTTCTTATTCCTATCAATACCCCACCCTTCATCTCAAACCCTTGTCCCAAGGGTGAAATGTGAAATCAGGGTACTGCTCCCTTGATTGTTATTCATCTTCCCAAAGTGGGCCCCCTCTGGCCCGCCTTGTTGCCATTCGACCAGCACCGCCGCACACACTTACTGCTTCTTCGGTCCTCTGCCTCCTTCCAAAATTTTCATGGCCAAAACGAAAGGCCCCTCTGCCTGCCAGGTCCGGTGGTAACTCCCTCTCCGCCGGATGTTCTCCTAATGCCTTTTTCACCTGTGAAACATGGAACACAGGATGTATTCGAGCTTCTCTGGCAGCTGCAGCTTAACAGGCTGGCCTCCCCTACCATCTGAATTATCGGGAACGGCCCAAAGTATCGGGCTGATTAGCTTTGGGTGGAGTCTGGTGGTAGGGATCGAGGATTGCCATGAGGGTCGTTATCTTCAAATACACCCAGTCCCCTACGCCACGTTCGCAACCCCTCTCTTTTATTAGCTTGTCGCACCATAAGATCTTGCGCGGCGCCAAGATGAAACTTCAATTTCGTTTCAAAGTTCGTCACCTTGTTTGCAGCTCTTGATTCACAGCCTCCACTAGAAGATGTCAAAGAATGAATCTTGTGAAGGAACCAAAAAGACCCCCCCCCCCCCCCACCTAAAAAAAAACATGGAGGGAGGTGCTCGCCCGATAGAAAGCCCAAAAGGGGGCCATCGGATTGCCCCTTGATAGCACGTGTTTATACCAAAACTCCGCCCACGATAACACAGTCATCCACCATGTTGGGCTTGAACAGAACACCTGAAAGTATCCTTCAACACCGGTTCACCACCTCTGTCTGCCCGTCCGTCTCCGGGTGCTACGCGGTGCTACATTTTTAACTTGAGTCCCTGGGCCTTTGAACAATTCATTCCAGAACATGCTTAAGAACAAGGGGGTCTCTGTCCCGGTCACGATGGATTTTAATAAATCCATGCAACCGTACTACTTCTCTTAGAAAAATCTCAGCCACCGTCCTTGCGAATAAGGATGCTTGAGTGGATGAAATGGGACCATACTTGATCAGTCGGTCCACCACCACTAAAATGGCGTCGTCCCCTGAGACTTAGGTAGCCGCACCACGAAATCCCATGCTACAAGCTCTTCCCATATTGCATCGGAGATGGGAAAGGGTCCGTTTTGTAGTAATCCTTGCGGTGATGACGCTAAAGATTGTGTTGTTGGCACACAAGACATTTAGCCACGAAATCTGTAATGTCCGTTTTCATCCCACCCCAAAATTAAGGACTGAGCTATCCTCCTATATACGTCCGGGTGTAAACTCCGGAATGACCCCCCTCTGGTTAGGTGAAACTCTGCCATCAATCTTGGTAGCCACGACGACTGCGCCGACAACACCCAACCTCACCTTGTACGTGCGTCTTCCATGTTCTATCTGTTGATGCACGGTGAGAATTGGGCTCCACCTCTTATCTCTTCTATCACCTAGTAGTTTCTCGTCCTCGGCTACCTCCGTCATTACTTCTTCGAAATCTTGCCAATAGGGCCTGGCTATCACCGACAACTCCTTATCTTCGTCGTTCACCCCCTCATCTCTTCGGGACAACGCATCTGCCACTCGGTGGTAGTCCCCACCTTATATATGATTTCAAAAATCGTATCCCAGCAATTAGCTATCCAGTTTTGTTGATTCTGTGTCGTGATGCGCTGCTCCAAGAGATACCGGAGGCTCCTCTGGTCAGTGTGGACTATGAATCTCTGTCCCAAAAGATAAGGACGCCAGGCTGGATCGCTAATACCAGAGCCATCAGTTCTTTTTCATAAATGAATGCTGAGTGAGAGCTCCTTCAGTAAGGCCTTGCTGAAAAAGGCTATCGGCTTCTTCCCTGCATCAATACAGAGCGCCAACCCCTTTTGCCCGACGCATCACACTCAATGTGAAAGGGTTGCGGAAAATTGGGAGAGGACAATACCGGGGCTGTGTGACGGCTGTCTTCAACGCTTGCATGCCCTCCTCTGCTTTCTCATTCCGGTGAATCCTCCTTTTTTCAAATAGATCCGTTAGAGGCCTGGCAATTTTGCCGTAGTCCCTGATGTGAACTCGATAATTACACCCGACAACCCAAAAATCCCCTCACACTCTTCCACTGATTTTGCCGGTCCCAATCCACCACCGCCTTTATCTTTCATCGTCCATCTCCACGCCTTGTTGTGAGAGATAAGTGTCCCAAGTATTTGACTTGGGTTTTGCCCGAACTCACATTCCTCCGATTGGCCACCCACTGATCCCGTCTCAGGTGACCAGGACTTTCCCAACGTGCTCCAAGTGCTCCTCCCAAGTTCGACTGTAGACCAGTAATATCGTCGAAGAATCCGAGCACAAACTTCCGCAAATAGGGCTTGAAGAGATGGTAATAGTCTCTGGAATGTTGCCGGCGCGTTGGTGAGCACGAAGGCATCACGACAAATCGTAATGCCCTGGTGCGTGCGGAACGCCGTTCTTCTCGAATCCTTCTCGGCCATGCGGGATTTGGTGTGGTACCCGGCCTTCAAGTCCACCTTAGGAAATAGAAAAATGAGAAGCCCCCCCTAACTCGTCAAACAGCTTTCTATCACCGGTATGGGAAATATCGGCACCGTCGCTCCTCTTCAGGCTCTGTAGGTTATGCAGAAACGCCAACTGCCATCTTTTTTCTGACTAAAAGTACGGGCTGGAGTACGGGCTATGGCTCGGACGGATCACCCCCGATCGGAGCATCTCCGAAACGTGCTTGCTCTGATCTCATCTTCATTACATGTGGGTATCGGTACGGCCTGACATTGATCGGACCACCAATCCCTCTTAGGTTGTATCATGAGCACCGTCTCCCTGCTAGGTGGCAACCCCTCAAGCTCCGTGAACACCACTCATGTTGTTCTAGTAAATCCCATCTGCTGCTTTGTTTTTTCCGTAAGGCCTGAACACTTTGGGCTGCCTGTATGGGTCTCGCACAGGCCGCCCAACTCCCAGACCAAAAAAATGTTGCCACCTATCTATTTTTTTTAAAGCTTCGGGGCCCCCACCACCCTCCTCTCTAACGTGGGGATCCCTTGTACAATTATCCTCTATCTCCTTGTCTGTACTTCATCGTTTTTAAAACTCTACAGTCCACCGTAACCTCCCCAAGCTTTGCTATCCACTCTACCCCTAAGATGACCGCCACCCCTCCGAGCTCGAAAGATGTAAAAACGTTCCACAACTTGAGCCTCTCCTATCTCCCCAACGTACCTTTTCGCAAACAGCCACTGATTCTCTTCTCTGCCGCCCCCAGACTCACCAAATACGGCGTGTTTTTGTCACCGTCATCCGCAGTTCCTCCAACCAACCGTCGATCAATGAAATTTTGGGCTCGCCACCGCCACTATCAATTAGACATTCCAACAAACACCTCTCTATTGTCCGATGTGTCCTCGTAACTTCATGGTCTTGGGGGTCGTCAGTCCTCCGGCGGACAGGCCGACAAAACAGCTTTCCAAAGTATGTCGCAAAGGCCGTCTCCGACACTTCTTCGACTTCTACATCCTCCTCTCCTCAACCACAATTAGCATTTTGAGGCCCCTCTATGGGCAGCGATGGCCGGGACTGAAGGGGGGGTTTTT